AAAAACCATATTTCCAAATGACTTAACTACACAGACTTCAACCCCTCTTACAGGAAACAATACTCACATTAAACAACAACAATATAAGACATGCAAAAATCTACAATGATTCAAATCACACATTCAATTCAATCTAATTCACTGCACAGATAAGAGTACTAACTAAATATTAAAAATATTGCATACCAAAATACATTCAACAAATACACACATTTAGTCTAATCTATCTGTATAAAACAAACACTATGTGCAATAATTTCTACATTTCAATGCACACAATTGCTCAATTAGAAAATTTAAACAACCAAAATTTAGATTAAGAGTAGTGAAAGTCATATTTCAATCTGTATTTCGAAATTACTCAACCAACGCTCACTTTAAGCCCTCATACACCTATCAATACACGAACTAAACAACAACAATAATATACACTCATTTTCAAACGGCATCAATGCATGCATTTAATTCGCATATATATATATATATATATATATATATATATATATATATATTGATTTCACTAACAGAAATCTTCGTTCAAAAACTGCATTATTGAAGCATGAATATATAATCACTTCGCGAACAAAAAACAAAAGTGAAAAAAACTCACGACGCCATTGATGTTGACAATTTCATACTCCAATTCATCGCTTTTTCTTCGCGAGTTTCCCTTTTTCCTCACCATCGTTCCTCTTCGTTCGTCTTCCTTCGTCTACTCTATCGATTGCAGGCACTCGTTTAGCATTGAAGTCCTTCCATAATTCAAAGTCTGAAAAAACTGGCCCCGCCGAAATTTCTCTGTCCGATGAAAACGTTTGCTTTTCAATTTGTATTTTATTAATGCACGCTTTTCCTTTTGAGGGGTATTTTCGTACTTGAATAATGCCATTATCGATGGCCGTTTTTTCCCCTCTATTTTTGGTCATACGGCCGACTAAAAAGATGCCAGGTCATAGATTAAGAATTTTACCTAGTTTTGGTAATATACGGGTATTTTTCCCATATATTTATAATAGAATAAGAGTTGTCAAAATACAATAACATTCCTAAATTAGATAAACTATTAGCGTGTACATGTCTATGCACATCCACTCATAATTAGAGTTTTATGCCCTTATTTTTAAATAGGGTGAATTGTAGTTCACACTTCACATGCTACCTTTTTTATCCAAATTTTAGTTCATGCTGCAATTTCAAATAAATTCAATAAGGATATATTTGGGAGTTTGGAGGGAAGAGAATGAGAAGGATTTGAAGGTATGTTGTTGGAGGGGAAAAAGAGAAGAGGATGAGGAAGTCCTTTGTATTTGGTAGCAATAAATTTGGAAAGAAAGAGTTTTCCAATGAATTATAATTTAAATTCACTTTGAGATTTAACAAATTCAAATAATTGAACTGATATTTATTTTTATTGAGCTTAAATTATCATTTCATTAATTATCCTTTAAAACCTTTCAAATTGGGGGAACTCAGAAATTGAGCATTTGGAGGGTCACAAAAGCCCTCCAAAACCATCCCCTCCAATTTTATAAACTCCCAAACATGAGATAGAGAATCATAAATCCCCATCAACGTAACCTTCCCCTCTCCTCTAAAACCCAACTCCTAAACACACCCTAAGTGCTCCAAGTTTGAAAATTTGCACACCATTTTCTCTTCCGAATTGGAGTTCAAAAATTTGCACCCTCAAATCTCGATAAGAATGCGAGATGCAAACTCCAGTTCTCTCTTATAAACATTAAAAATTTAAGCATTTTTACTAATATTATAAAAAACAAATTGCAAATATCTTCACTGTTGTCTTAATGTAGCATGTTAGTACATACGCTACAATAATTTGGTTTCACTTAAATCATTTTTGTCACCACAAATTTAATCACTATATATGTATGACAAAGAGAGTAATTAAGAGACCGCTCATAAGTCATAATATAATACTCCTTCCGTTTCACAATCAAAGTCACACTTTTCTTTTTTGGATGTGCCAAAATAAAAACCACTCTTCACATGACTTCCCATTTAGGATCGATATCAATGCAGTACAAAACAATGCGAAACAGTGTCAAACATTGTTAAAACAGTGTACTCTACAATAAAACTTATCCCTCAATAATTTTTTTCCTTGATCTTTGTGAAAACAAAGTGTAACTATGATTGTAAAACAGAAGAAGTAAGTGAAAGAGTTATGACATCATATAAGAGCCACAACCAATGAGAGAGTACTTTTAATTGATATAAATCCCAATTATCTGAGCCAAAAATCCGAGCAAAAAAAAACACTACATTATAAAATGAAGTATGTGCTACAATATAGCACATGAAGCCTGAGGCAAATAGACAAGCATTCTCCGCCAAAAAAGGTACACAAACATTCTATCAATTTTCAATTCTTTGCTCCAAAAGAAGTGATCTCATGGGATGTTTTTTCTTTCGCCCAGTTTCGTTTGGATGGTCGTCGACTTGCACATGCCGAAGTGTTACTAGGCCACCTTGTCTCTCTTTTTTTATTTATTAATAATTGGTACCACTTTCATGAATTGAAGCTTCCTTCAAAACTTTTCCATTTTTAATGAATATTATATCCACCACTTGCAAATTCGATCTCCCACCACTTATGAAGACCGTGATCGATAGAGAGTGTTGTCATACTTTCCTTTTTGAGTTGTTCTAAAATAAGTGTCACATTTTCATTTTTGAAAAGAAATTTGTGATTTACAACATTTCACTTTATTTTACTCAAATCTTAACAACAATTTTTACCTTTTCAACCACTTTATTAAAAATTGTGTCAAAACCAAATGAGACACATAAGATGGGACGAAGATAGTATTATATTCTGCGTGCATCTTTTTTTTTTTTTTATATCATCAACCCAACTATATATATTCAGGTGAATTTTGATATAGTCGGACGGACCGACATTAAAATATCATCTTGTGCATTACTAGTCCCATCCTTAATCCTTTAATTTAATCTTTACGGCTTCCGTCCTAATTTATACTAGTACTTTTATCTTTGCTAGAATAGGGTGTGACACAATACTTTGAAAAAGTTGTAGTACTGAATTAAATAGTGTAAAAAAATATGACAAAGTAAAAAAATATGAAACAGATGATAAAAAGTATAAAAAAACAAGGTAATTTAATATTTTTAAAGGAAAAATTTATCAAAGAGAAAGTATGACAAAAATTTAAATACATCCCAAAAGCAAAAGTTTAGAAAGCATTTCAATATGGAGGGAGTATCTCTTTTGTGCAACAAAATAAGACCTAAGCTAGAATGTTTCAATTCATTTTTTAAAAAATGCAACTCAATATATATGAGAAAATACAACTAATTTTAATATTCAACAAAATCTTCTACACAAAGTAGTGTTTTAACTATTTGATTACAGTTAAAACACATACTCGGGTGGGTATGTAGATGTGGGAAAACACAAGGAGATGACTATTGCGGACTAAAGTTCGGTCGGTGATGAAAGATCAATCACATCGGTATGAGTTGAACGAGGTGCTAGGGTTTAAGAATTTATCCTATTAGTTATTGTTATTTTGTTGTTTGATTTCTTGTTAATGTCTTTGTTGCTAGGTTTATTGGGATGATTAGAATTTTTTATGTCGTTAGAAGTATATGGATTTATAAGACCAGTGATAGCTGTGTCAAACCCGCTTCATGTTTAGCAATTCGTGTTGCTCTTAATAGGGTGACCGTATCTATGTCTAATCGTAGAGTTTTTAGTCGTAATTGATGTAGATTAATTGGTGTCATATGTGATTTTTTTTATTGGTGTAACGATCCTTAAACTAATCATTTAAATAATTAAATATAAACAATTTTCTTTAAAAAAAAACTACAGATCAGAGTATTTGATGATAAAATGATAATAAAAAATTAAGATTGAAGATGATTTTAATCAATTAAACAAAGTAGTAACAACTAACAACTAAGTTGTACCGGTGGGCGTAGCTCAACTGGTAGCAAGGGAGTTGATTGCATTGATATTTGAGTGTTTATATTTTTACTTTTAATTACTTTTTATGGTGTGTTGTTGTGGTAATTGCACATTTAAAGTGCAATCATTTTATTTTTCTAGTTTGTTGTAATTTAGTAAATTTAGAATCATCTTGAGCAAGAAACAATCAAGAATCAACAAAGGATCATGGAAGGGATCTTACAAGATCAAAGGAAAGTGCAAGGGAACAAGAAATCATGCAAGAAATGTGATTTGGTGACTTACCCGGTCGGGTATAGCCTTTACCCGGTCGGGTATGAAGTGACCCGGACAAAAAGACGTGCAGAAAACACAAAATCGTGGGCAAAATATTTGATTTTGACAAATACCCGGTCGGGTATCTCAAATACCCGGCCGGGTATCCGGTGCAGCACCTTCAAAACACCTATAAATAGCCCCATTTTCCTTCACTTTTAATCATCCCTTCTTCCATACTCTTAAGCTCAGTTTAGAATAGTATTTCTTTTATATTTTTATAGCATGTTTAGTCTCCAAATGAGGAGCTAAACTCTTTCATCTTGGTTTTGCTACTTTGAAGCTTAATGAATTTGTAAGTTGTGAGTTATTCTCTTTAATCTTCTTCCTTGAATATTAATTCTTCCTTTAAATACTATTTCTATATCAATGTTGGGGAGTGTTACTAAGATGACAATTAGTTAACATCTTGACATTAGTTATAGTAATAATTATTTCTTCTTCTACGTTAATATTGGGGAGTGTTACTAAGATGACAATTAGTTAACATCTTGATATTAACTATAGTAAGATTCATCTTCTTTAATATTCTTTCTTGAGTATTAATTAATTCCTATTCATATTTCATATTAATATTTTGAACATTACTTAAAGGATCAACTAGTTTTGTCTCATATATTAATTATTACTAGAATCGGTCGGTTAATACGCTTGTTATTAATTCGGTCCTTTCACGGTAGTAAACTTGGGTTGTTAATGCATGCTTCTCATGGTTAATAAGCCAAGGGGAATTAATTATATTGATTAAACCAATAAACCGCTTGTGTTGAGGTTATCAATCTCAATCGTTTTCATCTTGAGTTTATTGCTACTATCAAGTTAATATACGGCGCTTGTTCTATATTGACTCGGTAGTAAGTTTTATTAATGAACGCGTCTCGTTATTAATAACTACCCTCGATGAACTGGATATACTCCTCGATTGAGTATTCGAGAGGAAGATAGTTAAAGATATAACCGGGATCGACGAACATTTCATTAAGTGGATAAAAGCAAAGCCAAGTCTTCTTCTCATTAATTAAACCACATAACTCATTCATCTTCGTGTTTAATTTATTAAACCAAATCAAACTAAAACCCCCCATTTTGTTACTAGTTCTATAAAAAGAAAAGTATTCCTTTCCCTGTGGATACGAACCTTACTACGCTATACTACGTATAAGTGTTGTATTGTATTATTATTTTGAGTGCACACCACGACAAAGTGCGCGTCAAATTTGGCGCCGTTGCCGGGGAAAGGCAATTATTTTTCTTTTTATTTTATCTCATAAAAATCAAAAACAAAAAAAAAATCAAAAACAAAAAATCTTACTCTTCTATTTTCTGAGCTTACATGAGTTATGAGTATATGGATGTCAACATATCATCCTTAGAGAGTCAAATTTCCTTCTTGACTTCTCTAATAAAGGGATTTATCTTAAACTCCGAAGCTCAAGATGCCAAGACATGCAACATTTGCATGTCTCACAGGCATTTTACGGATTTCTGCCCAAAGCTCCAAGATGAATACCTTGAACAAATTGATGATGTTGGTTACGAAAGGGATGCACCTCACATGAGGTATGATCCGTTCTCCAACTCTAACATGTCTACAGAGGATATGGTCCGGGCTATTGCTACCAACATGACCACCATGCAAAACAACATGGTGCAATTCCAAAATGAGACCAAGTCTAGCATTTCAAACATGGAAACTCAAATGATTCAAATACCCGGAGCCGTAAGTAGGCTTGAAGCAAGGGATTCGGAAAAACTTCCCTCTCAAATAGAATGTGATCCTAAACAGCAAACTTTTGCAATCACATTGACAAATGAGAAGGAAATGCAAAAGGAGATCCAAAATCCAGAAGAAGTAGAAGAAGAAAGAGACGCGGAGCTCCAGCTAGTCAAAGAAGAGGATGAACCGAGTTTCAAGGTCAAATATCTATCCTTGTCATCCTTTGAGGTACCCCCAACAATTCTAAAAACTTTGAGGGAAACTCATAAAATTGACAAGGATAATGACATTTTTGAAATCTTCAGCAAAATTGAGGGATCAAAACATTTTCCGTTAACCATGTTTAACGATAATTTCTTTCCCTCACTCCCACCACATGAATTAATGAAAATCTGGATATTTGATCCTGGAAAGATTTTCAAAGTGAAGAGTCAAGAAATTAAGCATTCCTATGGAAGTCCTAGGAGTGAAAGTGTGAAGAAGATAAACTATCACGATCCAAGTTTGAATGATTGAACACAATGACAGCGTCGTGCCACGACGTTAAATAAAGCGCATCTTGGGAGGCAACCCATGCAAGGTACATTTACTTATTGCATTTTATTTTTTGCACTTTAAAAAAAAAATCACCTCATTCGTCTTTTCCAAACTCGAACCCAATTCAATTACCCCAAACCTCCTAACCATATCCATCTTTCTTCAAAATCTATCCAAATCCTCCACCAAACCCCACAAAAAAAAATCATAATCTTGTTCTCATCACTGTCCTCTTGCTCCACATACCCTCTAATCCACAAACTCTTGGAAGCAACCACCCCTCTCCCAATCCACAACTTTATATCTTCAAAAAAAAAGTGATGGCGATAACGAGCACTAGGGACAGTGCTCCGAGCTAAGTGAGGGGGAGTCACTCATTGAAAACCCAAACGGGCAACCTAAGCAACATTAGCAAAAAAAAAAGAGTGAGTTAAAAAAAATGAGAGGCTAGGATGAAAACCTGAAAAGGCTCCTAGGCAAAAGGAGAGAAATGAGAGAATAAATTAGTTTTGCAAGTGTTCATTTTTACCATAGCAAGCAGCTGGAGGGAGAAGCAATAACTTTCTGTCAGGAGTGCCACAAGGGTTAGGTCTCGGGTTCGAATCCCGGCAACTGCGATGAAAGATTACTATGCTGAAAAATGCATAGGACCTCTGCAAGTACCGGGGACAGAGCCCCACTCTCTATCTGTCAGATTGTGATTATAATCCAATTTACATCCTGCCATCGTGTTATCCGGTCGTTATTGGGGGGCCCTCAGGGATGGGGTGTCATCCTTTAACTAACAACTAAGTTGTGTCAACAATGCGACTCTCTAAATAACTGTGTCCCAATCAGATGACCCGTCAATTGCATTTTATAGGTTCTGATTCCAAACCAATATGTTGGTATTCAAGGACCGAACCAAACTTTCGGTTACCCAAAAAATTATAACCGGAACCGATCCGTTCATGATTCAAGTATCGGTTTGTTGGAAATCAATTTTTCAGATCGGTTCACCAAAATTATTTTTGATTAGTTTAAATCCTACTTACTAATCAAATAAGTAATTTGAAAACTGTGTTACCCACACCTCCCAGGTGTGTATTGGTACAATCGGGGTATTTTCGTAATTTTAATTGAAATTTGTGATTTCTGTTAATTGGGAATCAATGCATTTTTTGGAGGCATTAGCCCCATTCTATTGAGTATTAAAAATCTAATATTAAAGATTGTGATATTTTTACCGTATCTTTTATTGCACCTTGTTTTTCATATATTCTCGTTTACAAAAATCTCTTAAATTATACTCCGTATCTATAATAAATTCTTATGAATTTCGGTATGTTAATCTAATATAATATTGTATGTTGAAATATGTATTGATATAATATTTTAAAATAAGTACTACCTCCGTCTCGGTGGACTTTGCCAAATGCAAAGTAGATGATGAATAAGAATAGTAAAAATTGTGTGATTGAGATTTGTGCAGAAGCTAAGAGAGATAAATGTGCAGAACCACAAATTAGTTGCTTTAATAGGAAAGTGACAAAGTTTTTTGGGACAGCCAAAAAGGGAAAGTTGACAAATTTCAGTGGGACAGAGGGAGTATAACACTAGTACATAATTACCAAATGAACATACATAACTTACAAATTGAGTATAAAAAAAATTAAAATCTCATTTGAATCCCAAATATCCATTTGAACACATTTTAAAATACTTGTCTGGTTATTCAAAAGACTTGTTTTCTATTGTCAATGATATATAAAATGTCTGGACCGCGCCTAGGTATTGTTTTACCATCAGATCGATTACTTGCCTTAAAACACAGTGTAACATCACGAATATGAGTAAAGGATTTTTACCAATATAGAAAAATGCTAGAGGTACACGTTTTTTGTACACGTTTGGTGTACACTTGTCACAGACAATTTGTCTGTGAAGGACAGACAAGTGTACACCAAACGTGTACAAAAACCGTGTACCTCTAACATTTCTCTACCAATATAAGAATACATATAAGTTTATTTTCCTAAAAAGGAGTACTATTTTTTTCTCAAAATAAGAGTGAAATATTATTGAAATTGTAAACTATTAATACCTAATAAGTGTAGTAATATGACATTATTATTCAAAATAGAAACTATTAATTCTACTTAAACAAAAAATATTGTAATTTTATTTAGGAAATCACTTTATTTTCCATTTTTAATTACGGAAATACCTATTTTTCATAAATGCTTCCAACTAATGACCTCAAAATTAATATTTTAACCACACTTACAAATATATAGCAAATTGTCACATAGTAGTTTTTGAAAACAAGTCACAAATCATATTTAATAGACCCTGTCAATTTGTTAGCATAAAAATTCTTCAAAATATCAGTTATCGTGTTTTCAGGAAACAATTTTAGATAATAAAATACAATTTGAAGGTATCAATCCAAACCAATTGTTTGTATTTTACAACCACACTAAATATGGAGAATGTTAAAGAAGGGTAATAAAAAATCCAAAAACTAGTACTACAAGTATCAATGACATAAAGTGCCATAAAAGTCGGACAGTCGGTGAATTACAAGTGAAAAAGATTCTGATATTTTTTAGACAATTCAGTGACATGTTTCGCGGTGATAATGACATTGGCAACAACGATAGTGACACATGTGGCGGTAACAATGACACTGCATTTCGTGATATTTTTTAAATTTATTAGTTCTCGCCTTTTTGGATATTAACTTTAATATAATAACGTTTATGAAAAAACGTAACCTTAGATATATTATTGGATAATATTACTCCATCCATATTGAAATGTTTGTTACGCTTTATTTTAGAGATTTATTTTAATTTTTAATACACTTATCAATACTCAATTACCCTTACTCTTTACTGTTTATATTATTTTTTTATGTTTTTTCACCATTCACTTTTTCTACACTATCTATTATGCCTATTATTTTTCACCGAAAAAATTGTGTGGAACCATATTGCAGTAAACAATTCGATATAGAGAGTATAAGTACATGTGGAAGTATACAAGGTATACTAGACCTTATTTATGTAGCCCAATACATATTATTTCGGCCCGAAATGGTTTACTGTTTCGCCAGCCGCATCTATTCACAGTCCTCTTTTTACTAGTTACACACACATTAAATTTTAATTCCTATTATATCCTAATTGTGTAACGCCATTTCCAACTTTCCGTTTGAATTTTGGTTTGCGATCATTTCACTAGCTAGCCATTACACACAGCCACATATTCCAACTAACTGATGATATCTTAAATCTTCAAATTGGATCTCAAATTCAATTAGGAATACTGAAATCTTCTAGTCGGAATTTAACAAAATTTTCAATTCTCACCTAATTGTGAATATCTGAAGTTTAGATACATGGAAATCTCAACATTCATGAAGCTTTCGTATCCCACCTAAGTCGCCACAGGCAATGAATTCCGGTCATCTGCTTAACATCTCCGCCACTAGAGGCCTCACCTGCCTCTTCATCTTTGTCTTACTCAAGCTTCGCAGTGGCCACAGATCTAGACCATGCCAGGACCGGCCACAATCGTCTCCAAGCTCCTTGTTGCGTAGCATGCTACTAGCGATGAGATCGCCCGCTACTGTGGTGTAGACGCCGCCCAATTTCTCTTACTTGAAGGAGGAAGCTCCGATGTTCTCATCTTCCTTGCGATTCTTGCTGTCACTGGCATGATTCTGCTAAACATATATGTATGTTGACCGTTATTTAGATTAAGGGTAAATTTGATAATTGAGTTAATTAAGTGGCCTTATTTAGTAAAAATAGGGCTGTGAATAGAATTTCCCCTATTTTTATCACCAATGCAAGTGGATACTTGTTTCATTGTTTCGTGCAAAAAGCCCCCAACGCTACAATGCCTCTCAAGTCTCTTTCAACTCCAAATTCCCGCTACCAAGAGTTTAAAATTATTCTAATTGATTGTGGGTTAGGGATTTTGGAAATTGAGTTAACATACCAATGATGAAATCAATGATTCAAATTGAACAAGATGACTCCGTCTGTAGAAATCCATATCATCCTTTACTACATACTACGAAGTATGTAGTAAACAAAGGACTTAAATGCAATTCTAAATGCATTTTCACCGAAGTATTACTTTTAAGAGATAATAATTATCCTCTATGTGACTAAAAGATGTCATCTTTCTCAATCTATGACTCAAATGTTTTTTTCCCAATATCATAGCTTCCTCCATGAATCCATACGGCCGAACATATCTTCTCTATTATTCAATTCCAGATTTACCCTTTAACTGAATAACGCGTTTAATTATTATTACGTATAAGACTCAGCCGCCCATCCATAATTGATCAATTGCATAAGTAAGCTTCGCATCCATCCATAATTGATCAATTGCAAAAAGTAAGCTTCATATCCATTAGGAGAGATTGATGTTCATCTATTATTCTCATCAATATCCCTTTTAAATCAACTTTTTTTACAACAAATTTTTCTGTATTTTTTTGGAAATATTATAGAAGTTTGTCTGCTGCCATCATCAAGTCATGCCACAGTTGTCCAGCTGCCATCGTCAAGTTGCGCCACCGCTGTCCAGCCTGTCCAACCGCACGCTTGCGCGGCCCATCGTCTTGTCGCGCGCTTGCTCACCGCCGCCGCCGCCCAGCCGCAGGCTTGCCCCGCTGGCCGCTGCCTTCCCTAGACATGTGTGCCACCGCTGTCCTGATCTTTGGGCGCCGCCGCCATCAATAGACATGGAGGCCGCCATCCCAATTCATGCGCGCCGCCACCATCCTGATCCCTGCGTGCTGCCGCCGGCCCGCCACCATCCTCTGTCCCTACACCAACCTACATGCACCTCCGAACCGCACAGCTCCGTCCCAATCTTGCTGCCACCCAGTCATCTCCTCTATTCTCATTCATATTCTTCTTCTTTTCTATTATTGAAATTAGAATTTATGGGCAGTAAACATGGGCAGTGAGCATGACCAATGAACATAATAATAACTATGGTTGAGTATGGGAAAGAAGTGAATATGACAATATGTAATGTTGTACATGGCAATGAAGGAATGTATTGACGAAGTGTGTATGTTGTGCAGTGAATTGGATGCAATAAATTGTTTCATAACATTGGCAGAAAGTGCACTGATTATGACAAATAGTGCAGTAATGTAGAACAGTATCACCCGCAAGAAATGCAATATAATTAATTAGACGTAAAATACTGAAATTATTAAATCTAAAAAACATTAAAAAAAAATAACTATAACTAAATTCCTAAAGTGAATGAGAAGAGAACTAATGTTGGCGGAAGTGCATTGATATGTTACCGAAAGTGAAGTAATGTTATGCAGTAATGTCGAGCAGTAACTGCAGTATGAGATGCACTATTTTTAATTAGACAAAAATAATATAAAATTGACATTTTTTTAAATAAAGGTATTTTAAAATGCAATAGATCGGATCGGGTCCGCCAAATTTTTCTCCTTCCCCTGCTTGATGACTTCTAATTGAAGTTTTTCTTTCATTTTCTATTCTTTCCATGCGTGTGTTTGCTTGGGGTATTTTTGTACTTTAGTTATATGGCACGGTTTTGTTTTTCGCTGTTTGGTCATACGCAAGAACAAAAAGAAGTGTGGTCATATATTAAGAATTCTTCCTACTTTTGGTCATATGCGGGTAAAATTCCCTACTTTTAATTCTAAATGCAATTAGGGCTGGGTCCGAAAAACCGAAAACCGAAAACCGAATCAAATTAAATCGAACCGTAGTCAAATTAAACCGAACCGCTAACAAACCGAAACCGAATGTAAAAAACCGAACCGAACCGAAGTTGTTTGATTCAGTTTTGGTTTTTACCCTTCAAAACCGAACCGAACCGAACAAACCGAACTATTTAAAATATAAAATTTATATGTTAATTGTTAAGCATTAATTCTAATTAATCTTAATACCATCAATAGTCTTTGGTTTTTTTGTGTTAGAAAAATATTGTTTGTGTTATGTTTAATTGAATTTAGTTTATAAATTCATTTACCCATTCATTGCTTGTAATAATGTAGCTATATTGAATGATGATAATATGTGTTTACTAGTTATTAGTAGTAATTAACTTTTATTTTTAGATAACTTAAAGATTTTATATTGATAAAACAATAAATATTCATCTCAACTATATCACATAGAACATATATATTTTGATGAACTTTTTTTGAACCAGTCACAAACAAATTAAATCAATAATATATACAATTGTATCTATCCCGCATACTCATACAATTCAAGACATATTTATCTAGCCCTTCTCAATTTTGTTTTATTTGTTGTTGTATTGTGCTTGCATTCTTTATGTAATATGTTTGATCCTCTAAGTATTATATCAATTTTAAATCAAGTGATTATTTTTTTGGTAAAAAAACCGAAAAAACCGAAACCGAACCGAAACAAACCGAACCAATCAAACCATGGTTCCAACTTTTGGAGTGTAAAACCGAACCGAAACCGAACCGAACTTTGTACTTCGATTCTACATTTGGTTTTAGGTCAAAACCGAACCGCAAGAACCGAACCCACCCCTAAATGCAATTCTATTTTTACTTAGAAAGTTAGAATAGCCATATATATACCAAGTATTTCGTTATGCCCCAAACAACTTAATTAGCATTAATCAAATCAAAGGACAAAACAGTAATAATACAATTCGGAGGAGAAAACAATCAAATCTGATAAATAGACAAAGAACAAGCTATTTTAGCTAATGTATGAGCAACCTTGAAGCATAGTTTTTTTTATTTCTTTTTCTTTTTTGTTTACTCCAGGGGCGTCTGGGGGAGGGGGGTTGGGGGGAGCCTGAAGTAATATAGGCTGAAACTCACTCCATTGAGTTTTGAACCCGAGACCTCCCGTAAGGGCTGGGCTGGACCAGCATAGCTTGTCACGCCCCGGACCTCCCCGGACACGTCAACAACCCGCCGTACAATACGAATAGTCAACCGCAGTCCAACACATTCATATTATACAAGGCGTCTTGAATATCATTCACACATATAACATCCATAAACAAACATAATAAGTAATTCAATACGCAGCGGAAAACATAGTTTGAAATCAAATGCCACACAGGGCTAACATGAGCACGCAGGCTCTAGAGTAAAATATCCATGAGCATGTATATTAATGTTCTAAAACAGAGTGGAGGAAGCACGAACCAAATCTTCTCTCCGGGGAAATCACTCGAGCAACGAGCACAGGAAGCAAGCTCTAGCCTCAACCTCAAATGGTGGTGGGACGCCCCGAAGGGGTCAGTACTCTATACAGCTATAAAGTACTGGTGTGGCAGACATCTAATAGATATACAACAAGTATTTCAAACGCAAGACCCTCAAATAGGGTGATAGTACATTATGATTGTAACCCTAAGTTACCTCGTTTGAAAATATACTTACTTTATGTAAAAGTCAAGTAGTCGGCCCGTGGGCCCATGTTCATTTAGAAATCACCATTCCCATTCCCCGTGACTATACGCCACGACAACTCATAGAGTCCAACCCTAATACATGACATTGTATTCTAGAGCTCGGCTCTATCACATCACCATACAAATGTCACAGAAATCATACAAGACCTGTCTCCGCCACCCAAGTCCAGTAAGGCACTCGGTCGGAGTCCAGCATCCCGCCCCTGAACTCATACCCTGTTCCCGTAGGAAGGTAAGGCCCATTCGGGGTCCTATCTTATGGGTTACCGCAGTCGGGAGTCTAGTAAGATCTCCGGTTCGGATTCCACTCCTACACGTGATCACGCTGTAAGTCCATGCTATCCAGCCCCACTCTCCAGAGTCGGGTAGGGCCATGGTCCTTACTCCTTTCTAAAGTCTACTCGGCTATCCTCACGGACTACCGAAAACACCCGTAGGCCAATCCTATACCTAGGATCAATTTATTATACACTTTCTCTTGGGTATCCCTTAAGGCCTACCCCTAGTATCACTTAAAGCTCATACTTATCCACCTTAGTATCTCTTAAGACTACTTAAGACTCAACATTTCACAATCCAATCTTTGGATCAATTCTAACAACAATTTCCAATAATCACTAACTAGTATTTCAATACTATTAAGATTATTGTTATCATACAAATACTCTCATTTTGTAATTCTCTACATATTTATAGGCATGTAGCAGCAACTTAAGTATTCAATCTCATACATAAATATTCATTCATGTGTATTTAAGTAAACTTAAATATACTTAAGAAAAACCCTACATCGATATACTTAAGTATACAACTTAAGTAACAACATAAATGAATATTTATGTATCCACATAATTCATACATGAGTAAAATCTCTATTTTACAAAATAGTTCATTTATAACTCATTTAATCTCGTATTATTCATACATCCTCAAATCATTTCCAATTTCATTCTTTGGAAACTATATCAATATTTCATCATCATAATCCATGAAAAATTATGCTTTAGGCATTTAGATAATCTCATGCTTAACCTACAAGTTGTAAACAATTAGATGTCAATCCTCACTTCAAATGAGCTTTAAAACCTTCCTTCTCGATCCAACGACCAAAGCCTCGGCCAAGAAGGTTTGAGAACTGATTCCTTGCTTGGAAATGAGTTTTAATCAGCCTCCTCAAAGTGCTAGTCCAACCCCTAATCGTTGATACGAAAACAGCCCCTAGAATGGTTGTTTTCCGGCTAACTCGTTCCCTAGTTTTTTCAAGATTTGCTCTAGGTTAGCATCTAACCTTTACACAAATAAAATAACTTTACAAGGACATATTATACACTTGGATTGGTGTATAATAGTTCCACCAATCGTTCATATCATTTGGAGAATGAAAGGAAAGGTTTTGGGGTTAAAACTCACCTTAGAAGAGTAAATCCGTTTCCGCGAGGTCGTGTTCTGCTCGGACGATTTGGAAGCCTTACACTACTCCGATTGATGCAAACCAGACCTTCACGGATTCCTCGTCTTGAGATCTTTCGTTTGGTATATTATACGACTTATTTGGATTGGTATAAATCGATATATCAACCAAACAGCCTCAACACTCTCACTGCTCGAGTTTACACACAGCAGTTCAATCCAGCTCAATTTTCGTATGGTAGACTCTCCCCTCTCGCACAGATACCACTCAAATATGAAACTATACTTCAAGGGCTATCCAAGGACACCTCATTCACATTATTTGGTCGAGTATAACTTCACTTATGGAGGGAGACAACCAGCACATAACTCATAACTCATAACAACATAGTACGTAATAGGTTCCCTTTTGCCATTTTCTCAATGTGCAGCCCCCCATAACTCATGTGTCTATTACTCCACCTAATAGTCAAACTACAAGGCCTTCCTAAAGAGTGAAATGAGCTGTAAGGGTCGAGATTGGAGGATGGGGGTTTAATTCATCAAAATATTACAATCACACATGTATGGGCCATAGTTTTGTCTCATGTGTGGTGTTTGATTTTATTCCACAAGTTGGTCCGCCCAATGTGTGATAATTGACCATTCCCCTTTGTTTACAGGTCTCCAAGTTGTATGGGATCCTTCCCAAATGGTCCCAATTGATTTGGGATCAAAATATCTCTTAATACTTCCAAAAGTGGAATAATGGGTTCTATTGTTTTATCTTTTGTCAAAAGATGTCTTTTTGTACTCATTCTAGTTTATTTAGAACAATTCAACCCTCTACATCATATTTTTGATCTCCAATATGTGTAGGTCATCCCAATAGTTTACATGTTGAATATTATAGAAGAAAAACCCTACTCCCATTATTTAGTTCAATAATGTCAAAGATGGGACCGTAGGCATTTGTATTCTTCTCTAATCATCCTATCACTTATTTATGACAACAATATTCATATTGCTGGGTTACTAGCCGTGTGGGTCACCCTCGAGTGGTTCTAGAACTCCATTCTTGAATACTTACTATTTTTAGCCGGTTGGGCCCAAAATAACGTTTGGGTTGCCTGACCTTCCTTATTTGGTCTAGGAGGGTTATGAATATTTCTTTACATTGTGTTGGGGTCTTA